CGGCGGTGTTTGCGGCACTGCTCGGCGGTTTTGCGAGAGCTTCGCGGGCGTTCCGCAGATCTTGGAGATCGAGGTCGTGGGCGCAGCCATCGCTTTCGTAGAGCTGCTCCTGTTGCTGTTCAAGGTCCTGACCCTCGTGTCGCAGGTATTGGTAGAGCCGCCGGAACCACTGTGCTTGGGTGGCGTTCACCCGCTTGCCATACTGGTACTTGTAGGCAAAAAAGTCGCGGAAGGCCTGGACTAGGTCGTCGTGCGGCGGCCGGCGGGTGTCTTCAGCAACACTCGCGCGGAATTGCAGGAGCACATCGTAGCCTGGCTCAACGTGCTGCTCTTTGATCTCGCGGGGGGCTTGCGAGCGGAGAACGCCTAGGAAGGTTCGCCGAGAGGTTGTTGAGAAGGATCTGGCTGCAGCTTTGGATCCCGCTTCTACCGTTGTGAAGCGTCTCGTATATCGTTGTGGACGGGGGGCAGGCCGTGCGCAGCTAGGGGACGCAACAGGATTCGTGGTAGGGGGTGTGCTTCGTGAGGTCGAGAGGGAGCAGGTCGAGGTTGACGTCACAGAGGGGACGGCAGGGCGGGCATCGGCGCGGCCATGCACGAGGCAGCGCCTGTACGCATTGCGTGCCGCCAAATGCGACCGCATGGCTGCTACCGCGAGGCTATATGGGACACCGACACAAGCTGCGTTGCGGGAGTACAAAAGAAAGAAAGCTATGAGGGCGGGCTGCGGGGGAGGAAGAGTTAACCACAGCGCACGAGTGTGGTGGGAGTCAGACAGGGCACCGTTCTGGAGGCAGAACTTACCTCTGCATGGCTGCTGGCATCAATTGGTCACGGTGGTCCTAGACAGAGCCGTCAAGAAGGGGTGGGAGTGCCTCGGTGACAGAGTGCGCCGGGTCGTTGGCCGTTGGTGGTGGATCTACGAGATGTTGTTCCAAAATGGGGACCTCTTTTTTGGCCGGATTTTTCTGGCGCGCCAAACTCCGCCAGCCAGTTGCACCTGCCCTGGCGCCCAGCCAGTTACAATGGCCCCAATTGCCCGCATTTTTGTGCACTCACTCTAAAATGGGCCCCAGTATCTACACCGTAAAATCCGCTGGCAGCTTACTTACTTGCAATGAAAACACTGCAAATGTATCATACACAATAGTATTTTGGCACTAAAGACACTGCTTTTCAAACATCGCCATTTTGTTTTCTGCGCATCCCAACGCGATGCAGCGCCTTGACAGAACCGTTTTCAAACCACAAGAGCACGTGATAGCATCTGCTTGGAACAGACAACCACGGCAAGAACCTACCCAAGTCGCCGCTTCCTTGCTTAGATACCACCGGCGCTGTGTCTACACGGTCGTCGAAAACGTCAAAAAGCAAATACCGGAGTAGATGACCACGTCGTGTCAATGCAACCTTTTTGATGATCTGGATCCCCCAACATGAGTGAGGCAGAATGGCACGGAAGAGAAAAACTAAAACTATTGAACAAACATCCTAAGGAAATCAGAAATCAAGCCCGGACGGCAGCACCCAGTGCGCCGCCTGTGAACTGCGTGCCGCCCGCCTGCCGTTGCGTGTTGCCGCCGGCACGAGCGCCTCCGCGGCCGCCTCGTGCGCCACCACCACCACGGCCACCGCCCCGGCCGCGGCCGCCTTGTCTGTCGAAGGCGTTGGCCGAGCCCTGTGTCCGCTGCTCCAGTGTCCGCTCGTTTGACTCCGTCAGCGCGCTGGCCTTGTCGGACAGCGTCAGAGCCAGGCTCTGCAGGCGCGACAGCTCGACGCCCTTGCGGAAGATGACCGTCTGGTTGACCTGGTCCAAGGCCGCCGCCAGCTCCTCGTGGCTGATCATCTTGCTGATGATGGCCGAGATCTTGTGCGTCTCCAGCTCAAACATGTTGCTGAGCGTCTCCAGGGCCAGCGTGTCGTAGAAGGGCGCGTACGTGAACAGGAACGTGCGCACACCCTCCTCCTGGATCTGCTTGGCCAGCATGGCCTTGATGCTGTCGGCCTGCGGCATCAGCTCCCAGATCTTGATGCTGTGGATGAACTCAATCGCCTTCTTCCACTCGCCCGCCGCCAGCGTCTTCGAGGCCTGCATCACGTGGTCGCGTGTGTTCTCCGGCGGGCCCGTGAAGATCTGGCGCTCGTGGTACTCGAGCATGCGGCGGTACGTCTTGCTAATCACCCGCTTCTTGATGTCCGGCGACGAGCCGGTCTGCGCCAGCAGCGGGATCTCCAGCAGCATGCTGCACGTCAGGTACACGCACTCGAGCAGCTCGAGGTTGATGTGCATGTGGAACGGCAGCTGGCGCTGCTTCTCAATGCGCTCCTGCTCGGGCGAGACCTGGCTGTAGCGCTGGATCATGACGCCCTGCGCCAGGAGCTCCTTCTGCCGGCCACTGCCGCAGATCTCCTGCAGCGTGTTCTGCGCATCGTACACAAGACCCTTGCGGAATGCGCAGAGGCCGACCTGCACCAGCGTCCGGTTGTACAGGATCTGCGACTGCACATCGAAGCTGTTGATCGTCTCCTGCAGATGCGACATGAGCATCATGTCACGCGCGCGGTAGTAGTCGTCGTGCAGCGCCAGGAAGTAGATCTGGCACAGCATGGCACGGGCGCGGATGATCCCCTCGCTGTTGGCAAACAGGTAGCCGCACAGCAGGTTCAGCAGACCGGAAGGCTCGCTCGACTCGGCGCGCGGCGTAATCGTCGAGTCGATGCCGCTGGTGGCCTCCTTCCAGCTGTTCTCATCCAGGATCTTGACCACCTGCGCCGGCTTGAAGTAGATGTGCTCGAGTCTCCGCATGACAATGCGGTTCAGGCTCTCTTGGGGGATCTCCAGGGACGAGTCCTTGCGGAGCGTCTCGTAGTAAAGTTGGCCCAGGACAATGGTGTTGTACAGGGCACCCTCGTCCTGGAGGCGGTCGATGTACTCGGACGTGTGGGGGTCAATGTTCTGGAGAGAGCGGACCAACTCGTCGTCCAGACGCTCAACGTACGAGACGATGCTGCCTGGGATCTTGATGTACTTCTGGCCGGCCTCCAGGGTGGGCGGCTTGTCGTCGTCGTCCCACTCCTCGGCGTTCTCGATGACAATGTACTCCTTGTTCTTCTCGAGGATCTTGAAGAGCTGGCCCAGCTCCTTCTCGGCGGCCTTCCAGTGTTCGAGTGGCATGAAGGTGGCAGCGCCCGAGCCCAGGTCGAAGCGTGCCGAGACGAGCGTCAGCAGGACGCGGATCTGCTGGTACGGCGTCACGGCAATCTCGTTGAGCTTCTCCATAATCTTGATCTGCTCTGGCCGGTCGGTGTTCTTCTTACCGCGGGACTCCATGATTGTCCGCAGCTGCTTGAAGATGCCATCGGGCGTGAACTGAACAACACGGCCACCCTTGCCAATAACCGTCGAGAAGCCCTGGTCGTCACCCTCCTCTTCGGTGGGGGCAAACGTAACGGCAGCGGGCGCCCTTCTTGGCGCCGGGGCCTCCTCCTCGTCAGACTCCATGAACTCATCCTTGTCGGCACGGTACTCGTCGATCTGGCTCTGGTACTCCTTGACGACCTTGCGTATGCGCTGCTTGACGGCGTTCAGGCCACGTGCGCTGGTCGCGTTCATCTTCTTCAGGGAGACCTTCTGCATGGAGATCGACTCGTTCAAAAAGTCCTCGAGGTCGGCAACGGCCTTGATGTAGAGCTTGGGGGCCTTGGAACCCTGGCGCAGCTTCTCGGCCTGGCGATTCAGCTTATCGAACTCTGCAAGTGCACACGCGTTAGTGATGAGTCAAACCGCGTCAAGGCGGTCGGTCTATGGCCAAAACGGCGGGGGACAAGACGAACCAGTTGAGATCGAGCCCCAGTCGTTGATCTTCTCGCCGTTCTCAATCGCCGTGATTGTGGCATCGAGCTCGTCGAACCGCTTGTCTTTCGCGCTCTTCACCTTGGCAGAGGGCTCCTCCTCGTCGGAGCTGGCGCCTGAATCTGCGTCGAGCAAGAACGCGTTCGCTCCCCGCGGCCTGTCGCCGTCCGAGTCGGTATCCGAGTCATCATCGTCGTCGTCGTCGTCATCGTCATCATCGTCGTCCTCGTCCTCGTCATCGTCGTCGAGCTCGTCGAGCTCCTCCTCCTCATCGGAGTAGAGTTCCTCCTCGTCGGAGCTGCTCTCGCTGGAGCTGTCGTTTCCGGAGCGGAAAAAGCGCGTGGCAGACATATTGATGGTCGTATGTCGCTTCTGATGCCGTGGGTGGCCGATGGTTGCAGAGTCCCAGGGTCTGTCTGCCAGAGGTGTGAAAAAGGGCTCCGGGCGAGTATTGTTTTGCTGGCTAGCCGCACAATGTGGGCAATGGGCAAATGGAGGGGAAACGAAAACGGAAAAAAATACTGACCAGACAGAAAAATTTACTGAATTTAGTGGGGTTTGCTGGGGCTAGAGGAGGGCGGACCGGCATAGCACGTGCCAGCTGGCAGAATCTAGGAAGTTTGCGCGTATCCAGTATGAACTTAACCAGACGACGAACCATGGCACGTGAAATTATCTAATATCAATGCCGCCTCCCCCAAACAGGCAACCTGCCAGGCAAAAAAATCTTGCCGCTCGGAGGAGGCCCTGCATCATACCGTGTCGCGACTTTCTCAGTGTTTGCAAGGGCAAACAGTGCCTCAATACATCACCGCCGAGCTCTCAACGACCTCGCACCAAACGCATAAGCATCCTGCATCATCCAGGGTGATCAGACATTTCTATAGGCATTCTTCCGAAGCATAATCCGGACTGCACCGCCAAACAGAAGCTCGACACGGCGGACGCGAGGCGCAACGCTCGCTAGCCATTGCAGCTCAGGTGCTGCCTACAACATTTCCGTTTTCATTCTCGTGACATTCATATCACATCGCCACCCGACATCGATCACCTGTGCTGCATCGCATAACTGTGTCATCATACCACGCGCGCCTCCTTTTTCTGGAGCAGGCTCCCACGCACGATCGTTCCTTCCGTCTCAGTCGCGATGTCGTCTCTTCCTCCCCCGCCGCCGGGATGGGCCCCTCCACCGCCGCCGCCGCCGCCTCCTGACTCTTCCATGCTCCCTGCACCTCCTGCGGTTCCTCCTCCGCCGCCTCCCCCGTCCTCGGGCTATAAGCCACTCAGCGAACTCGAGCTAGCGAAGCTCGAGCAGAAGAAGAACGAATGGCTCCGCACACGACGCAACCGTTTCGGCGAGAAACGGAGGGGTGGCTTTGTTGAGACACAAAAGGCCGACATGCCACCGGAGCATCTGCGCAAGATTGTCAAGGACATTGGCGATGTCTCGCAGAAGAAGTACACGAGCGACAAGCGCAGCTATCTCGGCGCGCTCAAGTTCATGCCGCATGCCGTTCTCAAGCTGCTCGAGAACATGCCCATGCCCTGGGAGTCGGCGCGCGAAGTCAAGGTTCTGTACCATGTCAACGGCTGCCTGACTCTGGTCAACGAGATCCCGCGAGTCATTGAGCCCGTTTTCCACGCGCAGTGGGCGGCCATGTGGGCGGCCATGCGGCACGAGAAGCGCAACCGACGGCTGTTCAAGCGCATGCGATTCCCGCCCTTTGACGATGAGGAGCCGCCCCTGTCCTGGTCGGAAAACATTGAGGATGTCGAGCCGCTCGAGCCGATCCAGCTGGAGCTGCACGAGGAGGAGGACGAGGCGGTCTACGAGTGGTTCTACGACAGCCGGCCCTTGGTGGACACGTCGCATGTCAACGGCCCCAGCTACAAGTCATGGAACCTCAACCTGCAACAGATGGCCGCTCTGTACCGTCTTAGCCGTCCCCTGCTCAGCGAGCGGCAGGACTCCAACTACTTTTACCTGTTCGAGCCGCAGAGCTTCTTCACCTCCAAGGCTCTGAACGTCGCTCTTCCTGGCAGCGCCCGTTTCGAGCCGCTGTACAAGGACATCGACCCGAACGACGAAGACTTTGGCGAGTTCAATGCCATTGACCGCATCATTTTCCGCAGCGCGATCCGGACCGAGTCGCGGGTCGCCTACCCCCATTTGTACAACTCGTTCCCGCGAAGCGTGCGGAACACGTGGTACTCATACCCGCAGACCGTGTACACGCTGACGAAGAACTCGGACCTGCCTACCTTCCACGTCGTGTCCAACATCAACCCCGTCTCGTCGCGCTCCGACACCAAGTTTACGACCACGAGCCACGAGGACGAGATCTTTGGCTACGGCAGCAACGAGGAGCCAGAGGAAAGCCTCTTCGACCTGCCGGCCGACCTGGAGCCGTTCATGGCCGACGAGGACCTGACCACGGACGACACCTTTGATGCTATCGATCTGTGGTGGGCGCCGTACCCCTTCAACCGCCGCTCTGGCAAGATGGTGCGCGCACAGGACGTCCCGCTGGTCAAGTGGATGTACCTGGAGCATCCGGCCCGCCATATGCCCATGAAGGTGGGCGTTTCGTACCAGAAGCTGCTCAAGACCTACGTTCTCAACGAGCTGCACAAGAAGAAACCCAAGACGCTCCAGCGGCAGGACCTGCTGCGGACACTGAAGCAGACAAAGTTCTTCCAGCAGACGACGATCGACTGGGTCGAGGCCGGTCTGCAGGTGTGTCGGCAGGGCTTCAACATGCTGAACCTGCTCATCCACCGCAAGAACCTGACGTACCTGCACCTGGACTACAACTTCAACCTGAAGCCCGTCAAGACGCTCACCACCAAGGAGCGCAAGAAGTCCCGATTTGGTAACGCATTCCACCTGATGCGCGAAATCCTGCGCCTGACCAAGCTCATTGTCGACGCCCAGGTTCAGTACCGCCTTGGCAACATCGACGCCTTCCAGTTGGCGGATGGCATTCTGTACGCATTCAACCACGTCGGCCAGCTGACGGGCATGTACCGGTACAAGTACAAGTTGATGCACCAGATCCGGTCCTGCAAAGATCTCAAGCACCTGATCTACTACAAGTTCAACGCCGGCGGCATCGGCAAGGGCCCTGGCTGCGGTGTGTGGGCACCGGCTTGGCGTGTCTGGCTTTTCTTCATGCGCGGCATCATCCCGCTGCTGGAACGCTGGCTGGGCAACCTGCTCTCGCGCCAGTTTGAGGGCCGTCACAGCAAGGGTGTTGCGAAGACGGTAACAAAGCAGCGTGTCGAATCGCACTTTGACCTCGAGCTGCGTGCGTCCGTCATGGCGGATTTGATGGACATGATGCCCGAGGGCATCCGGCAGAGCAAGGTGAACACCGTCCTGCAGCATCTCTCGGAGGCCTGGCGGTGCTGGAAGAGCAACATTCCCTGGAAGGTGCCCGGTCTGCCGGCGCCCATTGAGAACGTCATTCTGCGCTATGTCAAGGCCAAGGCCGACTGGTGGATCTCGGTGGCACATTACAACCGTGAGCGCATCCGCCGCGGTGCCACCGTCGACAAGACTGTCGCCAAGAAGAACGTTGGCCGCCTCACGCGGCTCTGGCTCAAGGCCGAGCAGGAGCGCCAGCACAACCACATGAAGGACGGCCCGTACGTGTCGTCGGAAGAGGCGGTGGCCATCTACACCACGACGGTGCACTGGCTGGAGTCGAGAAAATTCTCGCCCATCCCCTTCCCCAGCGTGTCGTACAAGCACGACACCAAAATCCTGATCCTGGCCCTCGAGCGCCTGCGGGAGTCGTACTCGACCAAGGGCCGCCTGAACCAGAGCCAACGCGAAGAACTGGCCCTCATTGAGCAAGCGTACGACAACCCCGGCACGACGCTGGAACGGATCAAGCGCTTCCTGTTGACGCAGCGTGCGTTCAAGGAGGTGGGCATCGACATGAACGACAACTACAGCACAATCAACCCGGTCTACGACATTGAGCCCATCGAGAAGATCAGCGACGCCTATCTTGACCAGTATCTCTGGTACCAGGCGGACCAGCGCCACCTGTTCCCTGCCTGGATCAAGCCGTCCGACTCTGAGGTGCCGCCGCTGCTGGTGTACAAGTGGACGCAGGGCATCAACAACCTGCAGAATGTGTGGGAGACGGCAGACGGTGAGTGCGACGTCCTGATTGAGACGCAGCTGTCCAAGGTCTACGAAAAGATTGAGCTCACGCTTCTCAATTCGCTGCTGCGTCTGATCATGGACCACAATTTGGCGGACTACATCACGGCCAAGAACAACGTGACCCTTGCCTACAAGGACATGAGCCACGTCAACAGCTACGGCATGATCCGCGGCCTGCAGTTTGCGGCCTTTGTCTTCCAGTACTATGGCCTCATTCTTGATCTGCTTCTCCTCGGACCGCAGCGTGCCAGTGAGATTGCAGGCCCGCCCCATGCGCCCAACGACTTTTTGCAGTTCCAGGACCGGGAGACGGAGACCAAGCACCCCATCCGCCTGTACACGCGCTACATTGACAAGATTTGGGTGTTCCTGCGGTTTTCGGCCGACGAGTCCCGCGACCTCATCCAGCGCTTCCTCACCGAGCAGCCCGATCCCAACTTTGAAAACGTCATTGGCTACAAGACGAAGCGGTGCTGGCCTCGTGATTCGCGCATGCGCCTGATGCGCCACGACGTCAATCTGGGCCGCGCCGTGTTCTGGGATCTCAAGAACCGTCTGCCCCGGTCGGTGACCACGATCGAGTGGGAGGACACGTTTGCCAGCGTGTACAGCCGCGACAACCCGAACCTGCTGTTCTCCATGGCCGGGTTTGAGGTGCGCGTGCTGCCCAAGATACGCAACCAGAACGACGAGTTCCCGGTCAAGGACAGCGTCTGGTCGCTTGTGGACAACACGACAAAGGAGCGGACCGCCCATGCCTTTTTGCAGGTGACGGAGGAGGATGTGGCCAAGTTCAACAACCGCATCCGCCAGATCCTCATGTCGTCCGGCTCGACAACGTTCACCAAGATTGCCAACAAGTGGAACACGGCGCTGATTGCGCTCTTCACCTACTACCGCGAGGCCGCTGTGTCGACCGTGAGCCTCCTCGACGCCATTGTCAAGTGCGAGACAAAGATTCAGACCCGTGTCAAGATTGGCCTCAACTCCAAAATGCCGTCGCGTTTCCCGCCCGCTGTGTTCTACACGCCCAAGGAACTGGGCGGTCTTGGTATGATTTCGGGCTCACACATTTTGATCCCGACAAGCGACAAGCGGTGGTCCAAGCAGACGGACGTCGGTGTCACCCATTACCGCGCCGGTATGACGCACGACGAAGAAACGCTGATCCCCAACATCTTCCGGTACATCATTCCGTGGGAGGCCGAGTTTGTCGACTCGCAGCGTGTCTGGACCGAGTACTCGCAGAAGCGGCTCGAGGCGAACCAGCAGAACAGACGTCTGACCCTGGAGGATCTCGAGGACAGCTGGGACCGCGGTCTGCCGCGGATCAACACCCTCTTCCAGAAGGACCGCAGCACGCTGAGCTTCGACAAGGGTTTCCGCGCTCGCGCCGATTTCAAGATTTACCAGCTTATGCGGAGCAACCCCTTCTGGTGGACCAGCCAGCGGCACGACGGCAGGTTGTGGTCTCTCCAGAGCTACCGTACCGATGTGATCCAAGCCCTGGGTGGTGTCGAAACGATTCTCGAGCACAGTCTGTTCCGCGCGACTGGCTACGCATCCTGGGAGGGTCTCTTCTGGGAAAAGGCCTGTCTCGCCAAGGGTACTCGTCTCTGCCGCTACGATGGATCGCTGGTCAACGTCGAGGATGTCCAAGAAGGCGACCTGCTCCTGGGCCCCGACGGCGGCCCCCGCAAGGCTTTTAACATTGTGTCCGGCAAGGAACGCCTGTACCGCATCAAGACTGGTCGGTGCGAGGATCTGGTGGTCACGCCCAACCATATCCTGACTCTGCACGAACCTTGTTGCCACGACCGTGGGGACAACAGAATGGAAGACGTGATCGGCGACCGGTCCGTCCCGGAGAGCAGTCCTGACGGCCACTGGACGACCGTCGAGATGACGGCGGCCGATTTTGCGGCTATGGACCCCTCCTCGCGCTCGCGATACCAGCTCTACAGAGCCCCTCCATTCGAGTATGCCGAGCAGGACGTGCCAGTCGACCCTTACTTCTTGGGCTTGTGGCTTGGTGACGGCCACCGCGTGGATGCTGCCATCGCCATCGACCCTGAGCAGGAAATCCGCGATTTCCTGGCGGCGTACGCCGCCGAGCTGGACCTGCATTTTGATCACCATGTCGGAGACCGCACCATGTCCGATGGCGGCCCCAAGCACGCGTGGCAGGCGCCCATCGTAGTCCCCACGCCCTTGCGTGCCGACCGCAGGTTGTCTCCGAGCGACCCAGTACCATTTTCGCAGCAAACCACCCGCGCCGGGACACCGGTAGAAGCAGATGGTCCTAAGGAGATTGTCTTGTCAGCATTTGACTTTGATTGTTTCCCGGCCCCCAGAGTCGTCGACATCACCACAGAAGCACTGGAGCACGCGCAGGTCGACGACGTCCTGGACATGATCCCGGTCGGGGAGGGGGACCTTCCCGCCGATGACCTCCTGTCCGCGCTTCAAGAGATCAAGGACGACGAGGACGATAGAGGAGCGCTCCGCGCCGACGAACACACCCGGCAAATTCGCTTGCGGTCTGGCCGCCGAGCCTATGGTGACCTGAATGAAGACGAGGAGGAGCTGCTGGCCCTGCAGATCGCATCTGCGGGTGCTGCGAGTGGCCGCAAGGTCAGCACCCTCCTGAATGCCCTCCGGCCTCTGGGCGTCCTCTCCCGCGGTGTTAGCCCCGACACCAAGCGCATCCCGGAGTGCTACCTCAAGAACTCCCGCGAGGTCCGCCTGGCCGTTTTGGCCGGTTTGATCGATTCCGACGGGACGTACGTCGCGAATGACGCGGCCGGTGTCGGTGCCTTTGTCTACGCACAGTCCAAACGGCGACACTCGCGCCTCTTCTGGGACGCCGTGACGCTGACGCGCTCGCTTGGCTTCAAGGTCACCACGTCGGAGGTTGTTCCACCGCCCAGCGAACGCGCCAAGACGGCAGACACTGCCCTGCGCGCCGTCATCACCGGGGACATTCACGAGATCCCGACGCTCTTGGCCCGCAAGATCGCCATGAGGCGGTTTGCACCTGCCACTGGCAGGTACATGATTACAGACATCGAGCTCGAGGAGCATGAGACCGAATGGGCTGGCTTCCGCGTTGATCAAGATCAGCTGTACCTTCGACATGATCACGTGGTTGTCCACAATTCTGGCTTTGAAAATTCACTCAAGTTCAAAAAGCTCACATCGGCCCAGCGGAGTGGTCTGTCGCAGATTCCGAACCGTCGGTTTGTTCTATGGTGGTCGCCGACGATGAACCGAGCGTCGGTGTACGTTGGTTTCCAGGTGCAGCTGGATTTGACGGGCATTTTCCTTCACGGCAAGCTGCCGACGCTCAAGATCTCGCTGATCCAAATCTTCCGGGCGCATCTGTGGCAAAAGATCCACGAGTCTGTTGTGATGGATCTGTGCCAAGTGTTTGACCAGGAGCTTGATTCCCTGGGCATCGAGTCTGTGCAGAAGGAGACGATCCACCCGCGCAAGTCGTACAAGATGAACAGTTCATGCGCCGATATCCAGCTGTTCCCGAGCCAGCGGTGGAACGTGACGCGTCCGTCGCTCCTGTTTGACTCCAAGGACACGCTCGAGGCCACGACGACGGACAAGTTCTGGATCGACGTCCAGCTGCGGTATGGCGACTACGACTCGCACGACATTGAGCGCTACGTCCGTGCCAAGTACCTCGACTATACCACGGACAGCATGAGTCTGTATCCGTCGCCGACGGGTTTGATGATTGGCATCGACATGGCGTACAACCTGTACTCGGCGTACGGGCAGTACTTCCCCGGTCTGAAGATTCTTGTACAGCAGGCCATGGCCAAGATCATCAAGGCCAACCCGGCACTGTACGTCCTGCGCGAGCGCATCCGCAAGGGCCTGCAGCTGTACGCGTCGGAGAGCAACCAAGAGTTTTTGAACTCGCAAAACTACTCGGAGCTCTTCAGCAACCAGACACAGCTGTTCATCGACGACACCAACGTCTACCGCGTGACCATCCACAAGACATTTGAAGGCAACCTGACGACCAAGCCCATCAACGGCGCCATCTTCATCTTCAACCCGCGCACCGGCCAGCTCTTCCTCAAGATCATCCACACGAGCGTTTGGGCCGGCCAGAAGCGTCTGGGTCAGCTGGCCAAGTGGAAGACGGCCGAGGAAGTCGCGGCGCTGATCCGCTCGCTGCCGGTGGAAGAGCAGCCGAAGCAGCTGATTGTCACGCGCAAGGGTCTGCTGGACCCGCTCGAGGTGAACCTGCTCGACTTCCCCAACATCTCGATCCGCGCGTCCGAACTGCAGCTGCCCTTCCAGGCCGCGATGAAGGTGGAGAAGCTGGGTGACATGATTCTGCGCGCGACCGAGCCGCAGATGGTGCTTTTCAACCTCTACGACGAGTGGCTGAAGAGCGGCATCTCCTCGTACACGGCCTTTTCGCGTCTCGTCCTGATCCTGCGTGGTCTGCACGTGAACCAGGACAAGACGAAGCTGATTCTGCGGCCGGACAAGACCATCATCACGCAGGACCATCACATCTGGCCGTCGCTGACGGACGAGGAATGGATCAAGGTGGAAACGCAGCTGCGCGACCTGATTCTCAACGACTACGGCAAGAAGAACAACGTCAACGTGTCGAGCCTGACGACCAGCGAAGTGCGCGACATCATTCTCGGCATGGAAATTTCGGCGCCGTCGATGCAGCGCCAGCAGGCGGCCGAAATCGAGAAGCAGCAGCAAGAACAGCAGCAGCTGATGGCGACCACGACCAAGACGCACAACATCCACGGCGAGGAGATGATTGTGACGACGACGTCGCAGTTTGAGACGCAGACGTTTGCGTCCAAGACGGAGTGGCGCACGCGCGCCATTGCGACGTCGAACCTGCGCACGCGCGCCAACAACATCTACGTGTCGCCGGCCGACAGCGACAGCGGCGCGCTGACGTTTGTGATGCCCAACAACATTCTCAAAAAGTTCATCACGATTGCGGACCTGCGTGTCCAGGTGGCCGGCTACCTGTACGGCTCCTCGCCGCCCGAGACGGACCAGGTGAAGGAGATCCGGTGCATTGTGCTGGTGCCGCAGATTGGCGGTCTGCGGGGCGTCCAGCTGCCGCAGCAGCTGCCGCAGCACGAGTACCTCCGGAACCTCGAGCCGCTGGGCATCATCCATACGGTGTCGGGCAACGAGCTGCCGTACATGTCGGCGGCGGACGTGACGGAGATGGCGCGCCTGCAGGACGAGCACGAGTCGTGGTCCGTCAACCGCGACAGCAACATCTCCGTGTCGGTGTCCTTCACGCCGGGCAGCGTCTCGCTGTCGGCGTGGGGCCTGTCGCCGCAGGGCTTCTCGTGGGGCGTGCAGAACAAGGACACGCAGAGCGACCAGCCGCAGGGCTTCACGACGAGCATGGGCGAGAAGCGCAAGCTGCTGCTGAGCCCCAAGTACAAGGGCTTCTTCCTGGTCCCCGAGAACGGCCGGTGGAACTACAGCTTCATGGGGTCGGACTTTGCCGGCCTGGCCAAGAAGAGCGTGCACGTCAAGCTCGACACGCCGCAGCCGTTCTACAGCGACCAGCACCGGCCACTGCACTTCCAAAACTTTGCCGAGCTGGAAGACATTTGGGTGGACCGCGACGACAGCTTTGCCTAAGCGGGCAGGTCTCAGTCCTTGCGGCACGACGAGGAGAGGAGAGTGGACGAAAATGCATACGGGCACAAAAGGGCACGAGACCAGCCCAAAAAGGTGCCCGTCGGTGGTAAGGGTCGTGGACAAAAAAAAAAAAAAAAAAAAAAAAACTTTTTAGTACATTTATTTTGCATGTTTGATCTTCATTTTCGGACTTCTAAATGGCACGGCGACGCTGCATCACGAGTTTGTTTCCAGTTTCGATTTGAATCCTATGGCCTCTGTTTTCGTTTTCATAGTCTTTTTTTCTCCTTTTTATGGTCTTTGATCTTTAGCTGTTCAACATGACGCCGGCCCGAGGGTTTAGCAAAAATGCGCGTGGGATGTGAGTGTGTCAAAAGATGTAGGCCTGTCAGATGACCAATCCGATTCGAGGCAGACAAGGCAAGAGCGCGTGAGCATCACCAGTCGCCAGGTCCCTTCCCTACGACAAGGGCGCCTGCGGTTCGTGGGGCCTGTGACAGGTGCGGCCTGTTCGTCGCACCTTCCCATCACAGCACGAGCTTGGTAAGAACTGAACAAGCAGCGGCGCCCGGCGGCAACGGGCCTGCCGACGCCATCAGAGTCTCTTGTATTGCTCGTTTCTGGCGAGCGAGCGGAGAGCCCCAGACAGCAACGCGGAATCAGCGCCTCGCAGTGATGATCAAGTAAATTGCACAGATTCATGCATTAATGCATTGCAAGCAAATCAAAAAGGCGCGGCCAACAACAGGTTAGCGCCAGCCTTGTCCATGAAAAAAGGTGGGGTGGGCTGGACAGAGCAGGACAAAAAGGGCAGGGGCGACACGAGGAAGGACGCCGTATTGGGCAAGAAAGACGGAGTGGAAGGAGGTCGCACAACTACAATGGAGCAACTCGAAAAAGAGGGAAGGAGCAGATTGCACATGTCAAAAGCAGGATGCGGCCCAGCCAAGGACGAGAATGCGACGTCCAGCACCTCCAAATAAAGAAAATGGAACAATAAACAAACCGATGTGACCCGTCGCGCCTGTTACCGCAAATAGACAGGCCCTGCAGCTGACGTTCCTGCGTACCTGCATTGTGCTGCAGACACATTCGGAGGATATGCCTCCCCAGGGCAAAGCGACGGAGTCGACTCGGTGTAAAGACGCGTACAAACCAAGGAAAGACTGACCAGGCTGACTTCCTCAAAAGCAAGGCCAGGGGGGCGTGGGAGGCGTGGGAGTTTCCGAATCTTCGGGAGCACCTGCCTGAGGTGACCCCCGTCTTCCCTCTGGGCTGTCATAAGCCGTGTTATACGGATACGTCCAAAGTTCTTTCCGTCTAATCTTTCCAAGCGATGTAAACCGGAGAGTGGGTACAAACAGGGAAGGAGAGAAAGAGAGAAAGAGGTAGAGAGGGAAAGAGTGACGGGGAATGAACTTTGAAATGGGGGCTTTTGTGGCAACCTGTCACTCGCAAGGGCAGTGATGCTCTGCATGATCATGCATGTCGCTTGGCGCTTTTGGACGAGACAGCGCACTTGCACACTTGCGCCCAGCGGCATCTTTCATTGTAGAGAGTGGGCGTCAAGCAGCGACGAGAGATGGCCGTAAAGTAAAGCAGGCCTAAATCCAACGAGTACACATTTCAACATGCACTCGACATCCGAGTGTGCCAAGGGGTGTCTTGGCAGACGCACACGGACTGGCGGAGTAACTATGCGGAATACTCCGTACAGGTTCAGGTGAACCGATTCCAGCTCCCCGGAGAAAGCGTTCGTGCCCAAAGACTGAACTACGGCATACGACGTAAGACACAAGGGCTGCAATTACCACTATATTCGAAAGGAGAATGTGACTCCGCAGCATGCTTGCAGCCGCTGCTTGCCCTTTGTATTGATCCAAACAGTCAAGCCCTCAAGCACATGCAAGGCGCATCTTCTTTGTTCGCCAGCATCGTCACTTGGACGTCGTTCGTCTGTACTCCGTACGATGCATATCCCGTCCAGCTTTTGCCCTTGTTTGGTTTGGGTAGATTCCAGCACCCCATTTCGTGTTTTCTGCACGCCCAGGCATTTCTGCAATAGCGACAGGTCCTATGGCGATTATTGTGAGGGCTTCCAAAATACATTCCAATATATACGAGAACCTGATTACGTCTGTAGTAGTGATGTGCGGAAGTACCGACGAACAGCGACGATGCACGCCCGAGACCGACTGCGCAGCAAAACGCTCCTTTTGTGCAGGTGCAAAGTGCCTGCACCGTTGCGCGATTGCACGCGGCAAGTGCGACCTGTGAGCACCTTCCAGCCACGCGTCAGACGCTGCTCAAACGCAAAGATGGCCGATCAGGAGTCGCAGAGTCGGGTTCGGAAACCACGACCGACACGACGCACACCACAGGAGTTGAACCACCAATCGCGCCTGCGTGTTCTGGATGCTGCGTCTCTTGCATTGTGGCTGGCCGTGGCAACGCCGCCAGGGGTCCTGCCTTTGCATTTCGATTGGTGACTCGCGAGCAACACAAAGACAGATTGAAGGAACAAAAAGAACAATTCGAGCCCCGACCGTGCGCCCGTCGAGTGTTTGTATTACAGGAATGCAATACAAGCCTGCAGCCAAACACGGCGCAACAACGGTACGACTGCATTGCCAACATCAGGCGAAAGATCGTCAGGAAAAAAAATTGGAAAGAAAGCTCACAATCTCAAAATAGGAACCAGAACCAAGGAGTCAAGTATGTCGTAGACAGGGGCCTTCAGCACGCCCGCACGAACATCCCAGCTCCCACAACTCATAACGTCGCGCCGCGCTAGAAGCCTGCATCTGGCTTTCTAGAAGACCAGCAATCAATTGCTCACGTCTCCGTCCGACCCCTTGTCAGACAGCATTTAGGGCGAAGCAGGGGCCTGGCAAGGGCCTGGCAGCATAATGTTCGTTTTATTGCTGGGTTCCGAGCTTCAAGCCTTCCTTATGCATATCCCTGTCCGTCGAACAGCCGCTCTGCCCCTCCCAGCGTTGCGACGTCTTGCGCATGGGAAGATCACATTGTCCGCGGCCCCGTCTTCGTACACTTTGCACTCCATCTGACGATATGGGCCCTCTTTCTGATTCTCTGGTGGCCTCTGCATGGGCCACCAGGGCTACGGGCATTGACGCGAAGGCATCTTGCAATCTTGGAGCTGCCGACATGGTCAGGCCTGGTCCAGGTCAGGCCCAGCCACCGGCGGTGCGCGAAGCATCATCGCTGCAAGGACTGTCCTGGCGATGCGGCGATGCGGCGTGTGAAAAGACGCAGGGACTGCGCGCACAATGTAATGCATGATCTTGTTGCGTCGCTCTTCGTCGGAACTGCTCCTCGCTTCACACGGCGCGCACATCTCTCTCCCACTACGAAAAGTACAGGAATTCGGACCTCCCCTGCTCACACTACATCCCATTGGAGACTATCAGATGCTTCCCGGCGCTCCCCAGCACTCCCGACAGCTTGGACAACTGCCTCCACACTCAACTCTAATCCATGCAAAATACAAAATACGACTGCCGCACGTATACGCCGTACTCAGCAGTTGTTGACCTGGTGTGGCCGTCCAAATCGAGTTACTGCCCGGGTCAACCCCCGTCAGCTCATTTCAACGTCCGCTTTGCCAATGGCATGACGCTCACATGTTGGACCCTGGCTCGCCATACAGGATCGAAGCCATCCAAGTCTGAGAATTTGATTTGGACGCACGGCGTTGAGCGCAGGCCCGTCTGCCAACAGTGGTGCGTGGAGCACTGTCCGAAATGCGTACGATATGCATGTGCTCCGTACTATGAATCCCGCTTCCACCATACATCTCATTTTGCATCTCACCATGTACTTTGTACCACACACACAAGAGCTGCAAGCCACGACCACCACGACACAATCTACCGGAGGCTCTCACTCACCGCTGTAAGCCGTCTGAGTCTGAGGCGCTCCTCGCCTATCGTTTGGTCCTTTGTCCTTCACAAGCCGCGACGCCAGGCCTTCCACTGCCACCTTGGGTTGCATCATAACAGACGTCTATTAAGACGACAGGACGCGGACAGAAACAAATAGTGGCGCTTTTCCTAGCTCTGGAATCCCATCGCAACGCACCGAAGTCTGTTCCCATCCAGCAGTCCTCTTTTTTTTTCCTATTTTTTCGTCTTTTACCGTTGGCTGTTTCCTCGGCACTGGCCCCCATCCTTCTACTGTCTCCTGTCTCCTCGCCTCCTCCAGCTAGTCAACCTTAAGGCAGAGAGAGGCAAACCCGGGGCAAAACATTCTAATGCTTTCATGCATGGTCAAAGAAAGCCATGGATTACGCACAAAAAAAACCTTTCGAGCGTAATTTAATGGCACCAGCGGAAGGGGCAAAAAGTATGAAAACTGACGTGGGGAGGTCTACAAGGAGGAAGGGAACAACTGGCCGTGACGTTTTTTCCTTTTTCCTCTGACAGGTATGTCCCGCGTCATCCCCATCTTCCCGCCTATGCCATTGCGGGAGTACTTGTCGCCACCGTTACCACTATTGTGAGAGCAGTCTGTTCGTCCCAGTCGGCTTCTATCTGTCCGGCAGCGAACCGCACGGAATGCCCCAGTTTGGGGGGGAATGGGATACCTTCCGCAGCCCTGCTCGCCTCCTCTACCCGCTCTTCGCTTGCGGGCTCTCCCTCGTCACTCGTCACTCGTCCCAAGTACAGGGTCGAAAGTGTTTCATGTTACGATGGCCAATCCGACTCTGTGTGTTTTGCATTCTTCTATGCGTTCTCGATTCTTCTCTCTCAGTGGACTGGCCCAGGACGCTGCTAGCCCATCTTCACCCTCCATGAGGCTTCTTCTTGTTGCTCTTTTCATTGTCTTTTGTTCAGCCTCCCAACTGACCTGTGACTTTTTGTTGTTCTTCCCTTTTTGCATCAGTCTTGACCAATTTACTCTTTGGGGCTGATATGCATCTATCTGTTCCTGGCTTGGTCTTTCTCTTGTCTTCTTTTCATGGCCGTTTTACCAACTCAAGACCCCCCCCCCCCCCCTCCCAGTACACACCCTAGCATCTTCACCCCACCCCCTGTATTGTTGTCATCTGGGGCCGGGGCCTAACCGTTTCTATATCCGGCATGCAAGCCATGGCATAAGATCACCAAATTATGCTACCTCATCGGATGCTGAGCAAAGGAAATGCCAACGACCCCCCCCCTCCCCTTCACGCATACTGGACGTGTTCTCCGTCCTGTGTATTTCGTATTGCGTACTCAATAGTGCTTGGTCTCCATATCCCAGTAGTGGCAGACCAGGGGAGGGGTCGGATTCCTGGATGCTGACCCCATAAATCCTCTTATTTATTTTTTTAAAGTTGGCCTTTCCATTTCCAATACCGTCCACTTAGTCCATCCTACCTACCACCGTCCGCCGCCCACCGTGCGCTCTTATATGGGCTCTTATAAGTATAAGAAAGCCCCGACACAGACTCACATGTACCACGGCGGTGACTAGCTGCTCGTGTTCTCTTATCCGCACTCGGCCCCTGAATACGTCGTTTTGCTCTTTACCCTTTGCCTTGACTACGAAGATCAGACGATAATGCGCTCCCGCCCTGCCCAGATCATCAGCAGCTACACCTCGCCTCTACCGTCGACGGATCCAAGGACATGAGAGCAGCACACGATCAGCCAACACGCCAAACCCAACGATCTCCCCGGCACCAGACGGATGGAAGCACAGCAGCCCCTTCTTGTCCTTGTCGCGTTCTTCCGTTCTTACCCTTGTAATAGCTTGTCTGCTTGTTATTGAAATACTCCGCCGCTCGCACACACGCCTCTCTCTGACAGAGTTTCCTCTGTTTCTCTCTCCTCCCACTCAGTCTTCCCACTATTACACTCTTTATCTATTTGGCCAAAACGCGAAGCCCGTACACCGCACGTCTATTCGTCAACCACACTCGCTGTCGCCCACTTTCGTTTTCTTTCCAGCCTGTACCTTGTTCAACATCTCTTCTTCGGCATTACCAACCACCAAGCATCACAGACAGTCCCTTTCTAATCGACAAATTCTCAACAATACGCATGCGGTCGTTTTTCGAGAGCCACTTTAGTCACTCCCTCACGGTCCGTAACGCAGAGGACATACACCAGGCGGCCGAACGCCCGCATCGACGGCAGAGCCAGGCCTCTAATAACGGCAACAACGTGTGCCCGGGGTCCAACACGGTCCCTCCATACACTTTCGACGCAGCCGCCCTCCGGGGCCCCGGTCTATCAAATTCTTTCCCTTCAGAGTCCGGCGACCAGCCAGAGCGGCTCGCTCTGGCGGAACCCATGCATAGACGACACGCTGGCGAGCAACTACAGAGTAGGGTCAGACTACAATGTCGATTACTCTCCCCAGGACTCGCACCCTGGCGAGCAGCAACATAATCAAGCGCCGCAGGCTTACGAGCCGCAACAGCATCACAGCCGGCCGTCGCTGCACCACATCGGAACCGGTACTTCTTTGCACGACACAACCGCGGCAGCGCATCACCAGCAGCAGCAGCAGCAGCAGCAGCAGCAACAATCACACCACCACACCATGTCACACCACCACGCGGCCGCCGCGCACCACCCCCATCAGGTGCTGATGGACCCGAGCCAGATGGGCGCGCACCATGCCGCCGCAGCTGCCGCCCGGCATCTTGGGCACCATCCGGGCCAGGCGCACTACGGGGCGCCCGTTCCTTCACCGCATGCAGTCGTCACGCCGCTCTATCCAGGTTTGACCGCCGGACCTGTTGGTACAACGGCGGGAGTGAAACGAACGCGGCCCGAAGACCTCGATCTCTCTGTGTCCGGGATGCCGGATCTGGAGCAGAGTGATCTCGACTCGATGGGCGCATATGGGCAGCCAACAGGAACACCACAACAGGCCACGCCACAGTCTCTGCCTCCGACCCACCATCACCACCGACTACCAGATACGGGACCTCCTTCGAAAATGATGCGGCGTGATGGGGAGGGGGGAGGCGGCGGCGGTGGCGGCGCACCAAGCGTTGTGGGCCAAGCCGGCATGCCACCACCGGCCCCCCGGCCGCGGGGCCCCAAGCTCAAGTTCACGCCGGAAGACGACCAGCTCTTAATCGACCTGAAGGAAAACAAGAGCCTGACGTGGAAGCAAATCGCCGACTTTTTCCCGGGGCGCTCCAGTGGGACCCTGCAAGTGCGGTACTGCACCAAGTTGAAGGCGAAGACGACACAGTGGACGGACGAAACGGTGCGTTTGCGACCTCTTTTGTATCCCTCATACCTTTTTTTGCCTCGGGGGCGGCGTGGACTAACAAGGCCAGGATCAAAAACTACGGACGGCTCTGCAGGACTATGAAAACGAAAAGTGGCGTATTGTGGCCAACAAGGTCGGTACGGGTTTCACGCCGGCGGCGTGCCGGGAGCGTGCGGCGCAGATGATGGGAGGGCCCTTATAGCAATCAATGTCTCCAGCAGGAGCCAATCCTGGGTCTGGGGACACCACGATCTACGCTGAGCAGCAGCAGCAACAGCAGCAGCAACAACAACAGCAGCATCATCAACAGCACCTTCACCAGCAACAGCAACAGCAGCATCACCACCCACATCAACAACACGCGCACCAGCTGTCACACCAACAACATCATCCACAACAATCTCCCGGACTACCCGGCAGCATGTTCTCCCAGCAGCTGTAGTCCGTCCACGAGCGCTATGCTCGCATTTACTCTCGCGTTTGCAACAAGCCATACGCCGACTTGATCGTGCCGGCTTCTCACGCCCATCAATGGTAATCTCCCTTGTTGAAGGGCCTTTCCTTTGTCTCTTTCTGCTTCATTTCATTTATTTCATTTTTCTGTTTGTGTCTGCGTGGTAACTTGGTACGTTTGACTCTCTTCACCATTACCATTTATTGCCATGTCCTTGTTTAGAACTTACGCTGTCGAGCCTTTTCTTTTCTTTTCCTTTCATCGCACGGCAGTATCATACCCCTTTCCTCTTTTGGCAGCATCATGTACTCCCTCTTAATCATGTCTTCTGGGGCGACGTTTTATTTTCTTTTTATGTTTCGTCCTTCGCTTTTCTTTTTCACATTTTATTTTCCACCTATTTTGATTTCCGGCCTGAATGTTATGACCATAGAAACGCGGAATTAGAGACGAAGCGACGCGATCGGTATATGAACGGTGTAATTGTATCGCGCTTGGGCTGCCGAGCTTTTGCCGTTTCGTTTGTGATGGGGCGTGCGGGCGTTGGATTTATTTGTGTTTTTGATCTTGGCTTCTCATTCACTCTCCCCCTCCTCGTTCTATTTTTTTTTTTTCTCTCTTTTTGTTTACCTGAGCTCCACACGTCGGGCATTTCTGTAATCCATAAATATAAATAAATAGTACACGTATTAGTCTCACTCAGCTTTCTCTGTTGATAATACATTAAGCCAACTTATGTTTCTAGCCAATCTCTATTGTTTTTATTCGAGGTATAAATAAAAAAATAATTTGCATTGTATTTCTGGAAACAAATTCAAATAAATAAACTCGACTATACGATTCACACCTTCGTTTAATTATTTATTAATGGATGGAAAGAGTAAATAAATAGACATGACTTGCACAATTGAATAAAACGACCATTATAACTTCTCGTCATATCCATCACTATTGTAAAACTCCGATACATGTCATCAAATAATTATCGTTAAAATTGGCTTTCCAGCTCAATTTTGCTAAGAGGGACAGCCTTCTCTACCAGGTCTACCATCTTTTCGTGCGCCGCGACCTGGATGGACCTCCCGTCTGTCGCATTCACGCTCTCCAAGTAGCGAGCCATGTCGACGATCCAGCCGTTAAACTCGCCCACCTCGGTCGTCTTCCCGGCCAGCGCGTCCTGGAGCATGGAGCTGTTGTTGTCCTTGACGAGGTTGCCCACGCGGTAGATCATGGCTCGTAGACTCGCAAAGGAGAGTCTTTCGACCAACGCTTCTTTGTCATTATCGCCACTGGCATCGTTCCCCGTCCGTGCAAAGATGCTGCCGCTTTCCATCTCGTGGAGGACAAGCGCGCGCAACACAACACTCGCCTCTTGGAGAAGCTCGTCAATAACCTGCGGCACCGCCGATTCGCCTCCTGGCACAAAAAGAGCGCCATTCTTGCAGCGCAGGATGGCGGTCAGGGGATTGATGACGGCGTTGACCACAAGCTTCTCGAGCTGCAGCACCCACAACTCATGGCGCGGGGCCCAGCGGGCGTTTAGCTGGGATGCCGCCAGGATCTGCCGGACGAGGTAAGGAAAGGACTCCTCTCCTGCAAAGCCGGGACTGTCGTCGCCTACGGCCCCCAAAACAACATCGGCAGGCGATGCATGGACGCTGGCAAACGGCCCGAGCGAAAAGACGCCATGGGTCACAATGCAGGCGAGCCAGAGAGGAGCCGCGGCCGTCCCGGGGTAGCGTGCCTTGTTGTAGACAGCTCCGTACGGTGGCCACAGCTTGTTCATGCCGTTCTGCGCAAAGGCGACAGCCGAGTCGGGCCCGAGATATCGCCGCAGCCAGTCTGCCGTCTTGAGCGCGTCCTGGGCCTTGGTGGAAATGACAAGATTGGCGATATTGCTTATTTCTGCAGATTGCGCCCGCGCCGAAGAAGACGGAGGCGCCTCAGACCACATCTCGACGTCAAAGCCGGTGGTCCGAGCACTGTCGTCCAGATCGTGTTGATCCTTAAGGTAGCTCGGCGGGTGTAACACAACGCCGGGTTTGGAGCGCCACTGTTCTAGGAGGCCGGGACGGTGGACGACCAATGTGATCGGCGGACGATTCGGCAGCCTGGCGAGTGAAGCAGCAAAAAGTCGGCCCAGGTTTCCCATGCCCAGGATGTAGATGCGCCTCTGCTCTTCTTCTGCCGAAAGCTTCCGGCTCGTCACTGGTTTGGCCGTGCTGGAGCCACCCGGTATATCTTCCGCGGTCCACTTGTAGATTTTTGGTCCTGGTGCCTTGTCCTGAAGCACATTTGACAGCCAACCCGGGATGGCAGCTTCCCCCGGCCCATCCGCTCCAACGGCATCTGTCATCGGTTTGGAGCTGAACCATATCCTGGAGGGCGCCGCTGGCACCAACCAGGCGCTGCGCCAGTATGTACAAGACACCGCAGCAGGGTAGTGAGACTTTAAAGCAAGAGAAAACATCCCCCCGAGTATACCGAGAGCTATGGAAGAAGTCGCTCGATGCTTCGCTTCACGTTGAGGCCGTCGGCAATTAGGTAAGCGTTGGTGTTGGGCTAAACGGCTATGGTGGCGAGAAAGACGCCTGTGGAGGCGCTGTAGCCTAGCGGTAAAAACCACTTTAAAAAGCGGTTATGTCACGTGCTGTCGTGGAAGCGTCGCGATTCCCCAACTTTCTTCGGATGACGTTTGAGAAAGTCGATCGCCACCGAGCTGTCACACTACATACTCGGCAACCTGCTGTTTCTCGCAACTGCTCACTTTCTGAAACGCAGGCTGCAGGACGGCAAGTGCAGTTTCTTACGACGTGTCTTGAAGCGTCGACATCTCATTGCCCTTTACAGAGACACAGCAATTCTCCGTCAGACAGCAATTCTCCGTCGCTTCCGTTCAAGGTGAAGCGGACATCGAGACGATGTCGTCTCCGTCTCACACCCCTGCGGCACCGGATGCGGTGTCCGACAACGCCGCCATGCTGGACGAAGAGTCGGCCATCAAGGCCCTGACGGAGACAGTGCGAGACCAGGACGACCTTGAGCGCGACATCACCTACCAGGCCGAGCTTGCCCTCATCGACGCCGAAGACAAGCGCGACGAGAAGCGCATTATGCGGCTCGAGGCGTCCAAAACGAAGCTGGAAGCGCAGCGCAGCACCTACCAGCAGCGGCTACGGGCGACGTCAACAGGTAACCCGGCGCTGCGGCGTCGTTTCGAGTCGGAAATTGCCAAACTGGCGACCGAGATCGAGACGGCCGACAAGGACCTTGCCGATTTTCGCCGACGCATCGACCAGCGACATGTGGGCGACGGCGGACGTGGAGCGGCGGGTCCGGCTTCGGCGACCGACGACGACAAGAGTGCCGGCAACCACCGGCTGCCCAACGAGACGCAGCGCGAGTTCCTGATTCGCACTGGTAAAATCACGCCGTTTGCCAAGGTTAGCGGTGCGCGGCCCGACGGCGTCGCGGGTGACCTGGCCGACGTGATTCTGGAGGCTGAAGATGAGGCTATTGCAGAAGAGCTGGCCGGCAGTGCACGCGACGAGCCCCACTCGCACCAGAATCTGCGGCTTCCAGGCTTCTCTGAGGGCGTCCAGGCCGTCAAACTCGGCCGGGCGGATGCACAACGGGCAGCAAAGCAGAAGCAGGAAACAGAAGCTCAGGCAGGACCAAGCACGGCCGCCGAGGCATCCGTCGAGTCCGAGTTTTCACTACGGCCGCGAAAAAAGCGGAAAACAAGACCTGTCGATGCTGAGCAAGGCTCCGACTACAGTGGTGGAGACGGCGACGAAGATGAATGGAAGCCGGCAGCAGACGCCTCGGAGCCGGGAACGGCACCAGCGTCCGGAGATGAGAGCGACGATGACGACACGACCGACTTTACCGAGCTCACGCGACCCAAAGCAAAGAAACAACGAGGGCGCAACGGGCGAGCATCCACACTAGCAAGCGAGACGGAAGGCGACTCCGATGCCAAGGTCAACCTGAGCGGCGTCGACGATGGAAACGAGATGGTCTACAAGCAACGCTTGGACAACTGGGTTACCCGGAGAAGAAATGCGCGGCGGCTGCGAAGGCAAGCCGCCGGTCTCCTTGCGGATGACGATGACGACGACGACACGCCCGAGTGGTTCAAACCATCGCCAGACGAACCCGACCATGTCTTTGAAAACGGCCTTCGTTTGCCGGGCGACATTTACCCGTCACTCTTTGCCTACCAAAAGACGGCCGTTCGGTGGCTCGCTGAGCTGTACGACATGCGCGTTGGCGGCATCATTGGCGACGAGATGGGTCTCGGCAAGACAGTGCAGCTGATCTCGTTCGTGGCGGCCCTGCACTACAGCCGGCGTCTCGACAAGCCCGTCATTGTTGTTGCACCGGCCACCGTCCTGCGGCAGTGGGTCAATGAGTTCCACCGCTGGTGGCCCGCGCTACGGGTGTCCATCCTACACTCGTCCGGCAGCGGCATGCTGAGTGTCAAGGGCGAAGACCGCATCGAAGAGGAGGAGCTGCCGTGGGACAGCCGGCCTGCGAAGCGTGGATCGAGTGCGGCAGCCAAGAAGATTGTCGACCGCGTGGTGAAGCATGGCCACGTTCTGGTCACGACCTATGCCGGCCTGCAGACGTATGGCGATGTTCTGATACCTGTCAATTGGGGCTATGCCGTGCTTGACGAGGGCCACAAGATCCGGAACCCAAACACCGCCATCACGGTCTACTGCAAGGAGCTGCGGACGCCGAACCGCATCATCCTGTCAGGCACGCCCATGCAGAACAACCTGACCGAGCTGTGGTCCCTGTTTGACTTTATCTATCCCATGCGCCTGGGCACGCTCATCAACTTCCGCAACCAGTTTGAGATCCCCATCCGGCTGGGCGGCTACGCCAACGCGACGAACCTCCAGATCATGACGGCCCAGAAGTGTGCCGAGACGCTGAAGGATGCCATCAGCCCGTACCTGCTGCAGCGCCTCAAGGCCGAC